GATGGGGAGGTGGGGAGGATGGGGAGGTGGGGAGGTGGGGAGGATGGGGAGGTGGGGAGGATGGGGAGGTGGGGAGGTGGGGAGGATGGGGAGGTGGGGAGGATGGGGAGGTGGGGAGGATGGGGCGCTGGCTCAGCCTCAGGGAAGCTCTTGGGTTATCCCCCTTGGAGGAAGGAGCTTGTGTCCAGCACTGCATGTCCAGACAAGAGTGGTCACCCCAGGGAGGAGTGTGGACAGCTGGAATAGCCTGGAGACCTAGGGTGACTCCGTTCTTCCCCAGGACAGCTGACCATATGTGGCAGTGGCGTCACTCACTGGGGGTAGGTCTTCCAACCCTCCGGAGCTCCTCTTCAGGCCAGCCTCCCACCACCCTCGGGGGCAGGCTTACTGCTCAGGCTGGGATCAGTGTGTGTATGGGGGGCTCCCTAGAAGGCTGACTGAAGTCCTCTCCTCCTGCCAGCAATGCCCAAAGTGAAGGCTGGACTTCGGGGTGATGACAAGTCTCCAGAGGGTGGGTAGCCATCCCAGGAGGGGAGGAGAGCAGGGGAGAGGGCAGAGGCATCTGGGCATGGGTGGGCTGGGAAGGAACTGAGGGTTGGAAAGAGTGAGGCCCAGAGAGCTCACTCCCTTCTTACTCAGAGCTCACTGCAAACTTCCTAGAAGGACCAGGGGCACCCGGGGGCACAGGCCTCATCATGCCCTTCTTCCTCTCTGGTGCCCTCAAGGGCTCCCTGCTGCCCAGAGACCAAAGACCAAATTTCTAGGCCAATGTTTAGGCCACCACGACATGGCCCTGCCTGATCACAGCCTCCCCTTCCCCAGCGTGGGCCACTCCGTAGGCCAGCTGCTATGTGTGCATGCGTGCTTGTGTACGCAGGCGTGCTTGTGTATGCAGGGCGCTTTCCCACCTCCAGCCCCTTGCAAGGGTTGGTGCCTCTGCCTGAAATGCCCTCCCTGCTTCTCCATGTACTGAAACTTTATATGGCCCCCAAGGCTGCAGTGGGCACCCCTTGTTTCTGCCCATTGGCACTGGCCTGTGCTTCCCTGGGAAGACCATGCCCTGACTGTCCCCTGTAGACTCTTCCTTCCAGGCTCTGAGGCCTGGGATGCTGGGTAGGTGGGACGGCCTCGAGCTCCAGGGATGGGCATGTGACTTAGGCCTAAGAAACCAGCATATCTCACTTCCCTGGCCACGGTGAGGGGTTCAGGGATGGGCGCTGGGGCAGAATGGATCTACCTAGACCTGATCTGAGGACTTCTGCCAAGGACGGGAGAGAGACAGGTGTTGTCTTCCCTGTTGCTGCACTTCAACCTGAGAATATGTATAGGTGAGGCTGGGGCAATGACCTGCCAACATGTGTGCTGAAGAATAAAGTCAACTGATATGGTTTGGCAATGTCCCCACCCAGATGTCATCTTGAATTGTATGCCCCTAATTCCCACGTGTTATGGGAGGGAGGCAGTGGGAGAGTTGAATCATGGGGCGGTTTCCCCCACACTGTTCTTGTAGTAGTGAGTAAGTCTCATGAGACCTGATGGTTTTATCAGAGGTTTCTGCTTTTACGTCTTCCTCATTCTCTGCCTGCTGCCATCCACGTAAAATGGGACTTTCTCCTCCTTGCCTTCTGCCATGACTGTGAGGCTTCCTCAGCCACGTGGAACTGTAAGTCCAATTAAACCCTTTTTCCTACATAAATTACCCAGTCTTAGGTATGTCTTCATCAGCAGCGTGAAAATGGACTAGCACATCAACACACAGGAGGCAGCGCCAGCCAATGCAGAGACTGAAGCCTGAGGTGTCACCTGAGCCCTGAACCCAGTCACACCTGAAGCTACATCTCCCAGTGGGCTGGTTTTATGAGCCCATATTGCTGAAGTCAGCTTATTTTATTTTAAAATTTGCAACTGAAAGAGTCCTAACTGACTCAAAGGCACTCCCAGATGCTGATTCCTCCAGGAAGCCTCCCATGACCTCTCCCTCTGTGTTTGCACCACCCTTTGTGCCTGATACTCTCATGTCATCTTTTTCCCTTCCTGCTGGCTTGCCTGGATTTGCAGTGATTTGTCTACATGGGTCTCCCAGGCAGCTCCCACCTTACCATCCTAGCGTCTTACATGTAGCACCGAGCAGGGAGCCTCATGCCTGGCAGTAATGTTTAGTGAGCGTCTGGTGCCCTTTCTCCACTGGCACCAGGGCCGAGTTCAGCCTTTAGCAAAAGGCCTGCTCCTGGGAGGCACCCCATGTGAGCTTTGCCCAGATCACCGTGTTGGTGTTGGGGCTGGTGCGTACCGATGGCCTCCAGGATGAGCATGTAGGTGGCTGTGGTCTCCCGGTCCAGGCTCACCACGGTTCTCACAACGGCATCGCGGTAACCCACGCTGAACTTCCCATCCAAGTTGCCACCTGTGGGTGAAGGACAGGAAGCTTTGGACTGGGAAGTAGAGCTCCCGGCCAGGGAAAGGGGGGGCTCTGCTCCTGAGCTGGGACCCGCCATGGTGAGACCAGGAGTGGCAGGCTGTGCTGTCGACTCAGCCTTGCCTGAGGCGCTCTGATGCGGGTGCAGCTTGGGTGGGCTCAGTGGGGGTGCTGGATGCCTGGAATCAGTGCCCATCCTTCACGGAGCGCCTCCTGTATACAGGCACTCCACACAGGCCATTTCCTTCAGCCTCCACTTTACAGAGGAGAACCCACTGCTCCATGGCGTGCCTCTGCTGCCCTAGGTTCTCCGTGCCCGGGTCCCTGGGTGTGTCCTTCACCCCTCCGCTCCCTGCCTGTCCTGCAGAAGCGTATGAGCAGCTAACCCGCATAGGGGCTTGTATATGTGGCTGAGGGCTATGGGGTTGGCTGAGCATCCCCCACATCCCTCATCTCAGAGGTGAGATGGGCTGAGGACTGAAGCTCCCTGAGTGGGGACATGGAGGCTCCACAGAGGGAGAAGTCAAGGCAGCTGTACAGGAGACAGGAATTACTGAGTCTCCCTGAGTTCTTCAACAGGTGGGAAGTGTAAGGGTCTCCTCTTGGGGTGGACAGGAGCCAGGAAGAACTCCCAGAAGTTTGGAGACCCCTCCCCTGCCAGCTGGCAAGCAGTGTGGCGTTCTGGGCAGCAGAGGGCACCACGGCACCAGCTTTGTGGTGAGCTTGGGCAGGACTGGGCTCAGCTCCTTGCAGAATGCACACTGAAAATCCGGGAGGGCTCTGGGCAGGTCAGCAGGAGCCTGCCACTTTGGGGTGCTGAAGAGTCATCCTGCAGACTGCCAGGTACTCCTGTCCTTGCTGGTTTGCCCCGGGGAAAGCCTCCTGATCCTCAAACCTCCAATGCTCCCTAGTGTCTTTAGTACCATCTGCAAGGGACACAATCTGGCTCCTGGGGAGCCCAGGGAAGAACTAGAACGCAAGTAGCATGGGTGGTGGAGACCCAGGGCTGGTGCCGTGTGAGGGGTCTTGGTTACTAAGCCCTCCCTCAGGCCGACTTGAGGGCCAGACCATGAGGAGTGGGCCTGAGGGTGCTGGGCCCCTTCCGGGAGGCGAGGGAGGAAAGTACAGGCTGAGGGCTGGGAGGCCACGTTGACCACAGCAAAAGCCATGGACGGGCTGTGAGCCAGGCATCCGGGAAGCACAGATACCTAGGCAACATGTGTGTTGGTAGGCAGGTCCTGGACAGAGAGAAGACTGAGCCGGTAAAAGGGCCATGCGGGGGGTTGAAGAGCCGGGAAGACTGCGCCCCCATGTGTCCCGGCACCTCTCATGTGTGTCAGGGAGGCTGAGAAGCTGTTCTCATCCAGGAACGGCAAGTCTAAGGCATGTGTGCCACCACCTACCAATCCTCCCACTGTGGCAGACATCACTGATCCACTGCGGCCCCCTTTCCCCTGTGAGCCAGGACATGGCCTCATCATCTGTGGCCACAGCTCTCCACGTGACAGCAAGGCAACAATTTTGAACTAAAACCATTTCATTTAGGGAGATGGAAAACACCTGCCTCTAAACAGATGGGAATTCTCCTGAGTAACGGGTCCCCGAGGAAGGACGAGGCCACATTTCTCCAGTTAGTGCTCTGTCACCCAGACTTGGGGCGGGGTGCGGGGCTCGGGGCTCCCCCTAGGAATCAGGGGGCCCCACTTCTCTCCAGAATGAACCTTAGTAGATCCTCCCTCTGCCTACAACCAAGACATTCAGGAGGTCCCCAGGGAGCCAGTCCAGAGTGATCCAGCTGCAAAGCCCTTGGGAAGGGCCAGGAGCAAATCCTCAGGGAGACACTGGCAGGGCTGAAGCCCAATAGTGGAGCCCTGGCCTCTTTTCCACCCTCACCTGACCCTGCACCTAGCCTGGCTGTCTATCTGGGAGGGGTGGGCAGGGCCCCGGCAGGCCTGCACAGGAGGGGGTGGGCAGCACCTGTGATGAAGTAACTGAGCTCGGCATTGAGGCCCACGTCGTTGTCCGTGCAGTTCAGCCAGACCACCCGGAACTCACGCGGCACGTCCTCGGACACGGACACGTTGTACACGGCTGGGAAGAAGGTGGGCATCTCGTCGTTCACATCCAGCACTGCAGGGGAGAATGGGCGCCGGGGCTAGGCCTGCCTTCTGCTGCAGACGACCCAGCTCCAGAGCAGTGGCTCCAGCTCCAGCTCCAGACCAAGTAGGGAACGAATTCCCAAGGGAGTCATGGGCTCCAAGTGGCATCTGTGTTAACACCTCCTGGCCATGAGCCCAGGACCCCCCACCCCTGCCAGGGCGAGGACCAAGCCCATCAGTGCTCCAGACCCTCCTGCTGTCCCTGTGCCCCTGTGCCCTGGGGGCTTACTGCTGCTCAGCTGTCAAAGATGAGAGAGAAAACCTTAGAACCTCTCTCCCGGATGCACCTAACAACGACCATGGCGACATGGACAGTCATGACAACGATGACGACGGTGACCATTTACGAGCTTGTCCAGCGTGCCACGCCTGTGCTAAGTGCTTCCCGGACAGGACCACATGCGGCCCTCAGAGCATCGTAGAAGGCGGGTATTATCAGACACGCTGTGTAGCTGAGGAAGCAAAAGCTCAGAGCAGCTGAGTGACTTGTCCAAAGTCGCACAGCGGCAGAGTGGAGGGGCTGGAGCCTCAAGGTCTCCCCTCAGTATGCAATGGAGCTTCAGCAAAGGGTGCTCGCTTTGATAATCCCATCCCCCGAAATAAGGTTTGATTTCCCTTAGAGATTTGTTTATTCAGCTGTGCATGCTCGGCCCTATTCCTCTGGCCGAGGGGCGCTTGGGCAACCTTTATAGCGAAGTGATCCCCACCCAACTTGGGTTCCTTTAGGTGGTATCCCCAGGAGAGATGCTGGGCCCCTTTGATGATATGGCTTCTGCTGAGTCTTGGAAGAAGGCCCTCCAGGGGTCCTCTCTTAAAGCTGGGACATACTCCCTGTCAATCATCCGCCAAGAAGTGGGTCCTGAAACTGACACCATAAACCCACAGGAAGCCTTGGAGCGATGGGAGAGAGTATCGTGCTCTCTGGAATCCTTACCAACTTAGGTCTCCACTGAAGAGGGTCAGTGTCTGTGCCTGTGCCAAGCTAACTACTCCCTCTCCCGCCACCATCCCACAGAGGCCGGCAGAACTAGGATGGGACCAAACAGGCCCAGGGAACAGGCCACGTCTTGCCTGTTAAACTCCACCCTTATTTCCCTGGGGTTATTCCTGGCCCCTTGGCAACAGCTCTTGTCCCCATCCTGTCCTGAAAATTAAAGACTCATTCAGCATGGAAACAGCACCCTGCCCCTTCACCGATAGAGGGCGGAGACTGTGGGAATGAGCGCAACAGCCCCAGTGGGATGAGGATCTTAGGGAGTCTGGGATTCCCAGCTGCTCTCTTCCCAGAGCAATGCCCTGCCGCTGCCAGCCCAGGTGTTCCACACCCATGGGACAGGGAGGTCTCCTTTAGGTTTCCAAACAAAAACTCTGGCCTTCCAAAGAAGACAAAGGGCTCTGCACCCTCCCTGGCTGCTCATGACCCTGAGGTCCCAGCCCTGGCTCAAGCAAGTCCCCTTTGCTGTTGCTACAATCTGGGGCTAGGAAGAATGGGGAGCGGGGGCTTGGCAGCAGGTCCAGGCCACTGCCCCTGAGCTCTGGGGCACTGAAGGCAGTGGCCAGGTGCAGAGAAGACTCTGCAGTGTTGAATGCCTCCAGCTGAGGAGGGTGCCTCATTAACAAGGGAGCCTGTGCCTACAAGTCCAGCAGATAGCAGTGGGGGACACATGCTCCCCACTTCCCCCTGGCCCTGACCCGGGCCTGTGCCCATGCACTGAGCACACAGTGGAAGCCCCCTCGCCCCTTACCGTGGATGGTGAGCGTGCTGGTGGAGCTCTTCGTGGGCGTGCCCAAGTCACTGGCCACCACTCGCAGCTGGTACTCGGCGATGCGCTCTCGGTCCAGCTCGGCGGTGGTGACCACCACGCCGCTGCTGCTGTTGATGAGGAAGTCCATGCGGGGCATAGCCACCTGCATGCGGTAGGACACCAGGCCATTCAGGCCCTCATCTAGGTCGACAGCCACCACCTGAGGGCAAGGAGGGGCAGCATGAGGGTGGGGAGGGGACACTGGGACGGATGCTTCTCCCCTAATAAGTGCCCCCTCCTCCCCGCCGAGACACACTTGGCTACAGCCAGACACAAGACACATATGCTCCCCTCCGAGCCTTTGGTCAGGTCACTGTCCCCAGGGGACCCTCCCAGATGCTAAGAGGGTCACGCACCAGCTGACAGGTGTCCCAAGGCACCAAGTGAGGCCGATGGTGGGGTGGCAGAGGGTCTTTTTAGAATAAGAGCCCAGGTCTCCACAGCGCTTCCCCCTTCATCTCCTGCTCTCCCCATTAGGAAGCCCTCCCAGATTAGGAGCAGCTGTTCCAGCTTGAGGACCCCACCATGATCTGGAGCTCAACCACACAGAAGATGGGAGTCACAGGCTGCCCCTCCCCGCTTTGCTTGATTTGTGAGACAGCAACAACAAAAATAAAATGACGTCAAGGGTTCTTTTGTAAAAGTCACTTGAGGGTTTCATTATTATTTTTTAAAAAGTCATTGGTGGCCATGTACAGGCAAGCCTCCTCCCTAATTCCATTTGCACCTCCAGCCCCCATCAGATTGCCTGACTCAAGACCCTGGTACCCTGGATGTTTTACTGAAGTGGCTTCAAGGCATTTGGGGAAAATGTGTAGAAACAGTTGAAATAGTGTTTGGGATTAAGCCAAGGCTCTCAGGACTGGGAGACATTATCAAGGTCGTCTGGACTCAGCTTGAATGCTTTCAGGACAGGGTGCTCAGTATTTCTACTTTACTTGCACACAGCTCTACCCCCTGGAGACCGCTCTTCTGCACAACCAGCAGAAATCTGTATCGCCTGAGGTCCTAGGTGGGCCCAGGGAGCACAGTTCAGGGGAGGGGCCTCGTCCTGCATGTGAAGACAGTTTCCAAGTTAAACGCTCCCTGCTCCTTCCTCTATGAACTCAGAAGTTGCATTGGTGGGCATCTTTATTTGCCAGTGTGAGCCCCCAGGGAACTGGGGTTAGGGGTTCACTCGCTCTCACCCCGCCTCCCCTTGGCCTGGGGGCTTCCTCAGGACAGGCTGCTGTTCCCTGGATCGAGTCGCCCCCTGCTGGGAGCTTGGGAAACACCATCCACCTCCTCCTACAGATGAAGAAACTGAGGCACAGTGGGCCTGTGGAGCACCACCAAGCTCACCCCCTCTGGCATCCTGACAAACAACCCCGTCTCCTTCGAATGGGAACAGGCTAACCTGATCCTGCCACTGCGTCTCAGGTATAAGCCCTCATGACAGACACATAGTGATCGCCACAGCTACCGTGTTTTCCTGAGTCCAAGTTCCAGGGTGTTTCATCCATGTGTCTGATTGAATCCCCACAGCAGTCAGGAAGGTACTATTATTATCTCCGTTTCACAGATGAGAAACTGAGGCTCAGAGAGGGTAAGCAGTTTGCTCCAAGCCACACAGCACTTGTTGGTGGAGCTGGGATCCACACCTCTATTGGCTGGACTCCACAGCCCATGCTCTTAACCAGGAGGGTCTCTGGTGTTTCCAAACGGACCCTGGAGGGCTGAGGTTTTGAAAGGACTGGAAACCCTGGATGTCATCTTCCCCAAACCAGCACCTTCAGGATCCCCCTGACCAGAGGATGATGGAACAGGAGGCAAAGAAGCCAGGCCCAAGATCAGACCCTGCCTTGTGTGGCCTCAGGGTCCTAGGAAAGTCTCTTTAGAGCTCTGAAAAGTGGGCAGAGGCCCCTCTACTACAGGGAGCTGATCCGGGGCTATGGGAAAGCATGGGAGAGGTGATGCCCAGGACTACACTCATCTGGCCTTCTTTATGTTCCAGAACCATGTGCAGGCCAGACATCCATAATCAGGCCGAGAAACTTGGACTTGGCTTGCAGAATTCCACCTTTGCCTCCCTCCCTGTCTCTGCCTCTGCCTTTGCCCATCTCCCTATCCTTTCCAGCCATGTTCCCCTCCATTTCTCCAGAGCCTCTGTCCTTCAAGCCCCAGTTTCTCCCCTGCCCCGCCCCTGCAATGTGCTCCGCCTGGGCGAGGCCCCTCGGGCACCCACTGCCCCCTTCTGGGCTGGTAGGGATGAAATGAGAGAGACTCACTTGGTAGATGGAGACCCCCGCAGGGGTGCCTTCCAGCACCTCGGCCACAAAAGGCAGGTTCTGAAAGGTGGGGTCATTGTCATTGAGATCCAAGAGGTTCACAAACACTGTGGCACTGCTGGTAGCTCTCAGAGGGGGTTGACCACCTGGGAAGACCAGGGTGAGAAGGGGCCGAGAATGGGGTAAGATGCGTGCAAGAGAAAATGGACAGGAAGAAGGCAAGTGGCGAGAGGGTGTCAGTCAGAGCCCTCCATCCCAGCGGCCCCTCCAGGAAGCAGCCTGAGCCTTCAAGCTCCCCTCCCTTGCCCCCTCCATTCCCTTGGGGTGCTCTGGGAGTCACAGCTGGGGCGTGGGTATTACTCTACTCCTGGTGATCAGACACAGCCCTCTTGTGTGGGCCCCAGATTCCCCAGAGGTCCAGTCACTGCAGATGCCCGCAGCCTAAGGTGTGGGGACTGTGAGGGGTGAGAGGGGTCCGTACAGTCAGTGACAGAGACGATGATTTTGCGCATCAGCTCGGCCTCGTGGGGGTCGGGGTTCTCCCGGTCCAGCATGGCATGAGTGGTGCGGATCTTGCCCGTGGTGCTGTTGAGGCTGTAGAACTTGTTGGGTGGCTGGATGCTGTACACCAGGGTGCCATTCTCCCCCAGGTCTGGGTCCACAGCCACCACCTGCCGGGAGGGAGCAGACCCCTTTGCTGAGCCAGGCCCGGGGAGGGTGTCTCTGGGCTGGCTGGGGGTTTCTAGCTCAGACATTGATTGTTCCTGGGGAGGAGGCATCCTGGTTCTGTCTGGCCCAGGAAGTGGTCCGACGGGGTTGGGAGGTAGGAGGTTCAGAAAGTGAATCGGCAGTGGAAGCCTTTGGGCGCTCTAGCAAAACCTGTCCATTTCCGTCTCAGGCAAGCCCCTTTCTCCTGGGCTTCCGGATCTGTGACAGGGGGTGTAACCCTGCCTGAGCTAGTGCATCTGACGGCACCTGGCACACTCCTACAGGGGCCCCCAGCGGGCACCCAGTGTCCCAGAGGAGCCAGGCCATCGCCAGGTACTGTGTGAACAACTGTATGAAGCAGGTATATCTAATTATGCCCACTGCATGGATGAGGGTCAACGGGGCTCCCAAGGCCTCAAAGCCAGGAAGCGCAGAGCTGGGATTCTAACACACACACACACACACCCACACACCCACACATACCACCCCCATATACACCACACACACACCACACACACACCCCCACACACACCACCCGCACCCCCCCCACACACCCCCACACACCCCACCCCCACCCCCACCCACCCGCACACACACCATACACACACCACACCACACCCCCACACACAAATGCCCACACATACCCCACAGCTTTGTGCCCTTCTGTTCCAGACATTCAGGGGGACATGTCTGTGGGTTTTGGGCAACCAGGGGGCCCCCAGCAGGTCCCTGACCACGGAGTTCTCCAGGGGACGGCTGGGAAGGGCTGGGGAGCCTGTGCACTGGCTGAGATTTTTGAAAGAATTTCAAACTCTGGATTTTGGAGACTGGGTTCTTCATCCTCAAACCCTCCCTTCCTTCTTTTGAAGCTTTAGAATGTGACACCAGGGATGACAGGGCATGTGGAGGAGGCTATGGCTGGGCCCCACTTTCAGAAGGTGGGACCCAGTTAACTAGGGCAGTCATGGGGCTAGGGGAGTGTTGAGGGAGAGGGCTGAGCACCCAGGAAGGGAGGAACACCATCCCTCGTGAGAAGCAGGACGGCCTCAGACACTCTGGCCCCTTCAACCCTCCGGCCCACACCCCGGTTCCTCCCTTATAACCCCCACGTCATGAAGGGGCCAGTGCTCAGTGCCATCCTAACCTAGGGGAGGTGAGCCCATAGCCTGCTGTGCCTTAGCATCCCTGATCCCACACAGCCAGGTCATAAACAAAAGGCCAAGGGTCCCCTGAGGTCTCCGAGGGCTCCTCGTCTTTGCCAAGGCCCCCTGCGTGCACCGATCCCCTGCTCTGTGGGGAAGCTCTCTCACCATCCATTGCCCTGCTTTTCACAGGGAGTAAGTAGAGCCCAGAGAGGCACAGGCCGGTCTCAGGATCACACAGCACCACCCATGGCGCTGACCCAGCTTTCAGCCTGGAGGCTCCTGAGGTGGCTGTTACCCCTCGATCACCCCCGGCCCTGCACTGCAGAGGCCAATTTGGCACCTGAGGTGGACGAGGTCAGTGGGGGCTGGGAGGTGACCACAGTCCCTGGGGCCACAGCAGGACAGTGTCATTCTTAACTGCAGGATAGTCAGTGATGACAGCCAGGCCTTGTCAGCCCCTTCATCTTACTTGATGTGGAGCCTTTTGTGCTTTGGCAGCAGAATCTGTCCCTCCTCTCCTTAATCCCCAGCCAGAGGTGTCTCTGGGGCCACCAGACCAGAACAGACAGATGAGCAGCCCCGGCTGAGAACTCCCATCTGCCCCTGTCCGTGGGCCCTGGGAAGGCCAGAGGGAGAGAGGCTGACGCAGGGCTGAATGCTGTGGCACCTAGACCAGCTTCCCCTTCAGAGAGGTGGGGGCAGCCTCTGCTCTCACCCCGGACTGCTCGGCCCTCCTCTCCCTTTTCAACCTTGCAGCACCGAAGGGTAGGGTAGGGGAGGTCCCTGCCTTCCAGGCCTCAGGTGTCCTCATCTTGCTGCGGGCATGTTGCCTCAGTTTCCCTAGCCTCCATAAAGGGGACCCCAAAACCCCCATTTTGTAAACAGGAGACAGGGCTCTTAGGTACCACAGGAATAATTCAAACCAGGACAAGTCATTTCACTGATGGACTTAGGAGATCAGGATGCTTTGCGTTTCTACAATGCTTTTCTCAACAGTTTGAAAAGGGATTTTGTTTGTTTGTTTTTGTTGAGATGGAGTTTTGCTCCACTGCTCTGGCTGGAGTGCAGTGGTGCAATCCCCGCTCACTGCAATCTCTACTTCCTGGGCTCAAGCAATCCTCCTGCCTCAGCCTCCCGAGTAGCTGGGATTACAGGCAAGAGCCACCATGCCCAGCCAATTTTTGTATTTTTAGCAGAGACAAGGTTTTACCATGTTGGCCAGGCTGGTCTCAAACTCTTGACCTCAAGTGATCCACTTACCTTGGCCTCCCAAAGTGCTGGGATTACAGGGGTGAGCCACCACACCCAGCCTGGGGGAGAGATGATTTTATTCCTGTTTTATTTTTCTGGAGGTGACTTGCTCCAAGACCACACCTGTTGCTGAACAGGCTGAGATGAATTTCACATGGGGGGTGTTTTCTCCTCTTCTATCCCCTCTTCCTGCCCCCACCATGCCAGAGAGTGCCAGGGTAGCTGCTTCCAAATGACCCTAGTTGGGGCATGGACACTGTTTTTGGGCCTCT